TCTGGGTCATATAAAACGTGGTAACAGATATGAATTTCTAAAATTAATAAATACAGGAAAAGATTCAAGGAAAGCGCAGCATAGGTAGAAGAAGAATGTCCTGGCTGAGAAACCTCTGAGAATGGTTTGGGTGCAGCTCAACTGAACTCTTTCGGGTGATGATTGCCAACCTTCGTCACGGAGATGACACGTAAAAGAGAAGTGATAGCAAAAAACAGCAAATATATGAGAAAGAAATAATGAATGACAGCATGTTAATATAGTTCAGTAAAGAAAACAGGTTAAGAAAAAGCGCATGTTTTACAGAGGAACGAAATTCAAAAAGGAACATGAAGATTATTATTTGTCGGTTCCTATGTTAATCAAATTGACCATATATTAATCGAAAAAAAAAGAGAACTGTGAAAAACCCATGAGAAAACTATTTAGTTTGTGTTTTCAAATATGTTTTATAGTTTATAATTTTTAATCAATGTATCTTATCGTTGTGTAATTCAGTAAAAAGTAAATCATATTAGTGATGCATTTTAGATTGATTTCAATAATATTCATAGTGGATAATAAATTTATCACGACATTATAAATTATAATCAGAAATAATTAATTATTTATGAAACTTAATTGAGTATTTAATTACAATACCAAATGATCTCATTAAATTGACAGAAAAAACGTCTTAATTGTTTATCTTAAGATTTAATAAAAACCTTAATTCAATTTTGAGATACATTTCAAAAGGAAATGTCCTTCTCTACATAGATCATGTAATTTTAATTTGAAACTTAGAAGTAGTAGATTAATGTGATAGATAACAAATCAAATTAAAACTTAATCGCATTAAATAATACGAAAGCTGCAAAAACGAAGAAAATATAGACACCAAAATTAGATAATCGACATGAATATGTAAATAATTTTAAAAGCATTTAAAATAATGAACTATAAACGTATATTTTGCAAAACAAGAAAACAAAAAACAAAATAGATTATCGATGGAAGGCAAACGTAACCATTTACTAGCATTAACCTTATGCCTATATTGGACCGGCTCCTAAATTGGATCTTTGTAGATTTGAGCGCACCAACAACAAGTAGCGCTATTCGTTAATACCAACTAGAACTACATCCCAAAACCTGTTAGAGTTTCAACTCAAAACTAGAATAAGAACCTGGAATGTTCAGAGCATGTTTCAGTCTGGTAAAATACACAATATTATTCAAGAAATGAACAGATTGAATATCGATGTACTGGGAATCAGTAAAGTCAGGTGGTCCAACTCAGGTTGGTTTTCAATAGACGAAGCCACAACAAAAGTCACAGTAATAAAAAATCTAATAGAGCGGTGGAATGCTATTTCCCTATCACAGAAAACTAATGGTACTGAGAATAGTGACATCTCATGCCAAACTGAATTTGATACAAGTTTATGCTCCTACGATGAATGCTGACCAAGAAGTAGAATTATTTTACCGGGATATCGAAGAGGCACTTAAAATAACGAAAACAAGAGAAATCACGATAGTCCTAGGTGATCTTATTGCAAAGATTGGAAAGGGATAAAGCGGAAAGTGTATAGGAAACTATGGTCTCGGAAATCAAAATGAGAGAGGAGAGCGTCTGTTACAATTCTGTCAAGAGCAGAACTTTATTATTACAAAAAAATTTTTCACCAAACAGACGACTGTATATATGCGGATCACCCGCAGATATATCGGAAAAAGTAGTCAGGAACCAGATAGACAACATCTACTTACATTATGATCAATGAAAGATACCGTAATGCTGTTAAAGCCGTGAAAGCATATCTTGAATCAGACGTGGCCTCAGTTCACAATCTACTTAATGCCAAGAATACACTCACCCTTAAAAATATTAAAAGACAACAAAGAATCCCTACAATAGACACAAGAAAACTTAAAAAACCTAAAGTAAAAGAATGCCTCCAACATAAACTGTATGTGAACTGCAGCAAATTAAACACAAACACCAATGATATTGACGAGTACTGGGATCGACTAAAATATTGTCTACTGGAACCCTGTAAAGAACTACTAAAGACTTCCGCAAGGAGAAAAGAAGAATGGATGAATGACGAGATACATCAAATGAACTTTTCAGAGCAGCTGTCTCAAAAGTCCAAATAGCTATGATGATTTATGAAGGCACTTGATGGCACTTGAAGAATAATTTTGTAAATTAAGCCAGTCCCATTTAGTTCTTGATACATTTATTTTTATTTAAATGTCATCAAGTGGTAAATACGGCAAGTGGAGCACAGGAGATTTAAGTAGTGCTATTTCCGCTTCTCTTAATGGTTGTGATGGGCTGAATGAATGTGAAAGCTTGTGCAATGTTTAAAGTACCTAAAGCCACAATAGAAATACATCTCTAAGAGAAAAACAAACGGACAAATATTGCTTTCAAAAAAATGGGAAGGTTTACAGTATTTAATGAAGAAGTTGAAGCATAATTATCGAAGAACGAATGTTCGGCATAAAACGAATGTTTCGGTATGAAACGTTAGCAAACTGGCATTTGAAGTGGCAACAAGAAACAATTTAAAACAAAATTTCAATACAGGTAAATGTATAGCAGGCAAGAAGTGGTATTATGGTTTTATTTCAAGAGATAAAGAAATATCGTTACGGCAGCCGGAGAAAACATTAATGGCAAGGGCTACAGAATTTAGGATAATTATAACATGCTACTTAGAAATAGAATTGTTCCTGCCTTAAAAAACAATTTGGTGTCTTAGCAAGACTGAGCCGCACCTCCGTTTCAGAAATTACTATTAAAATAAAGTCAACATTTATGAAAGCGTTTAATCTTGATCTTAAAAGTATTTTTAAAGTCAGTCACATCTACTTTGCTAATATCCATTCTTAATATAATTATCATCATTTATATTTAACTTTTGAGCTACTTTAAAAGATATTTACGTTTTTTTTTATTCATTTCGTAGCAACATTAACAACCTGTATAATTGTAGATGTACACCCTGTATAGTCTCTATACATGGCCGAAAAATAAACAGTCTACGTTTTACAGATGACAAAGGCCTTCAGATGCGAATACAAACGTGAATCTTGGACACTACGACAAGCGGAAAAAAGAAAGATAGATGCCACTGAAATGTGGTGTTGGAGAAGAATTTCGTGTATTAACCAAATGAAAAATAATTAAATTTTAAATGAGTTAAACGTCAGCAAACGGCTCTCCAACAAAGTCCATTTCCAACAATTAAAACACTTCAGACATGTTATAAGAGCAGACATAGCAAACATGGAAAGATTTGTTATCCGTGGAAAAGTAGAAGGAAAAAGATCACTAGGAAGATCTCCAACAAAATGGATCGAGAAAACTACAGGAATATACAAAAAACTTTATGAGTTAAAAGAAATGACCAGAGAGAAAGAGAGATCTTTTGCACCCCCTCCGAGGGTGTGTTGGTAATTACGTAATTATAGAGATCTAGAATCTAGAATATAATATTCTTTCTTGATTTAATTCTTCAAAAATTTCTTACATATTTTACAATATCGAATTTACTACTGACCGCATTTTCTCTTTAGCAAGTCAATTAATAGAAAATAAAGATGGTACGGAATCAAGAAATTCATGTACTGGAAAGTACGGATTCATAATGGAAAGTACGAATATTAATATAGAATTAATAAAAGCTGTCAAAGTACTATACAATCATCTATATCAATAACATCATCATTAGCCATTTTGAATCCACTGTTAAACATATCCACATCCGATCTTGAGCACCTTTGAATCCATTTGAGCTGGATGCTCTTGATGTGTCTAGGTCTTCATTCTAAAATTTTTTAGGACCATCTTCCATCTCTAATTCTGGCAACAGTTCCTGCCTAGTTCCATTTCAGCATTTTAATTCTTTTAATTGCATCCGTAACACAAGTTTTTCTCCTAATTATTTGATTTGAAACTCTGTCTCTATAATATATATTCAACGTTGACCTCTCGATTGCTCTCTGTGCCAGTTGTATCTTATTAAATACTTTTTCGGTAGGGAAAAATGTTTCTGCTCCATAAGTTAGAACTGGGAGTGTTAATTGATCAAAGATTTTTCTTTTCAAGCACGTGGGATCATCTTATTTGCTTCCCTCAGTTTTCCGTAACCTGCCCATGTTTATTCTTTTTTACTATCTAACACTTGTTTGGTTGTCTCTTTCTAATTTGATCAATATACTACACAATCAATCCTTACCAAAAGTAAAAACTGGAATACCAATAACAATAGATTTGTAACATCAAAAGCATTGAGGTAAGCATGTTGCCTGTTCCCCACTATAATTAGAATATATCTCGAAAGCGCTTTAAAAAGATGGAAATAAAAATACACAACAATAGAGATACCACTCACCATCACTATGATATATACTCTCAATTTTGCAAGTTTGCAAGGCTCAAGATTATGACAATTTAAACTATATGAGTCAAAAATTAATTGAAAAGAACGATATATGGGGTTTATAAGTCATTAAAATGAAAACCGAATTCCTTTGCATTGGAGGACTACACAAAATATTTTATATTAGACGACATAACCTCGTTAAAGCACTGCTGCAATTACAAATATCTATGTACATTCTATCAATATTTTGCTCGAAGAATATTAGACAAAGCCACAAAAGAAAGAAACAGCATATTATTATGACCATTCTATCAGCAAAGGAAACCAAAAGAGAATTTATGAGAATATAATGAAAAGTATCATTTTATACAGCTGTGATAATATACAGCTAGATAATTATAAAAAAGAACAATACAAACAGATCAAAAGTAACTGTAGCATATTTAAAATTTGTAAATTTAATGATTAATAAATAACTAGAGCTGAAATGGTGTTAATGATGTTAATCTAAATGGTGTTAATATTCTTTGTATTCTTTAGATATTCCGAAATTTGAATATTTATATTCGTATAAAACCGACTTAAAAAAGTAAAAAAATAATAATAAATAGAACAAACCTCGTCATCTCCGTGCCAGTAAAAATTTCTTTTGGAAGTGTTAATTAGGTCCTGTTAAAATCGCGCCGCAGATGTACGATAATAATCGAGAGTACCAATGAGTACCACAAAAACCAGCGGTAACGCGCACCAATGCAACACCGTTAAGAAGTGATTAAGGATTAAACTCATAGACTGCCTTACCGAAGAACTGTCACTTTCTTTGGTTTTCGCAAAGAAAGATTCAACCCCTCCAAAACGACTACCATTGACTGAAACCCAGAACACAGATTCATGTGTATATGTGTAACAATTTGAGGGTCATACAGATTTTTAAACAACTTTCTATGTTCGTGTTATTGTTTCGTGAATTTATTTCAATTTCAAGACAGACAAAATCTTTAGAGATTTAATTTTACGACGAAATGTTTTTATAATTGATAATTAAAATCTTTTAACACGGTTTTATTTTTGTTAATTAAATTTGCTGGACCTCAAATGAATAAACGTATATTTACGTATATATATATATTATATCTATATATAATATATATATATATATATATATATAGTGGTGTTAAAAAGTCCTGAATCACATAAGCGCCTAATTTTTGAGGTTTAAGTCAAGCTTTTTGTATATTTTCTCTAATTCATTTTAAGTTTGTACTTGTAATTAGCATTATCGGTATACTTACTAATGTTTTTTAATTACTATCTCAGAATTCTACAAAAAGATTAAAATAATTTGATTGAAGGGGTTTCCCATAATCCGAGAAAATTATAAGTTGAGTATTAACTCTTTAAAGTACTATTAAATTGAATCTTAATCACAAATTTGCTATATATTTTGACTATATAAACACTGCAGTTACATTAAATTTCATTCGCTCTTTGATTTTTCACAAGAAGGTCAAAATGTCATCCCAGCCTAAACAAACTAAATTATCGGACGAAAAGCGTTTTGAATTTATTTTTTACCATAAAAACGACAAATCTAGTCGTGAAATAGCATCCGCAGTAAACTGTAATCAATTTACAGTAATTCGAGTCATTAAGAAGTATGTAAACAAGGAAAAATCGACGACAGAAAGCGTAGTGGCCGACCAAAGAAAACTTCTGTTCGGGATGACGCTGCGTTAAGAAGAACAAGTCTAGCAGACAGAAACCTTTATTCTACCTCAATTGACGAAGCTGTGGTCTGAATCTACAGGTGTAAGCGTGTGCACTTTCACTGTGAGAAAAAGACTGCTTAGTTTTGGACTAAGCCCGTTTGAAACGGGCCAAGGAACATCGAATCTGGACAGCAGAGCAGTGACAGAGTGTACTGTTTAGTGATGAATCCACTTTCAATATTAATAATCGTGCTTGAAATGCCTACGTCAGAAAATTTTCTGGTGAAGAAATTTTCTTTCTCCAAAATGTGTTTTTATTATATGGAGACAATATTATTATATGAAGCTGAGACTTGGAAATTAAAAAAAATGCAATTTATAAAGAAGGTGGTTAAAGGCGGGTAAGGAGTCTTGGAGGCGACATGAAGCTGCCGATGCTTTTGTCGTAACAAAACTTTAAGAAATGCCTCACTGTTTTCCAATGAATGAGTTGGAGGTTTTAGGAATAAAACTCAGCTCTGCCAGCAAATCCTACTCTCACGTCCACGAAGACATTCCATGTCGCGTAACCACTGGGTGCATGGCGTACCAATGGGGAGTGCGTTATGTAACAGACGAGAGAGGGTAAAAGGCGAGTCTCTGGCGCCTAAAAACTGGAACATATTGGCTAGGGGAATAAACCCCAACAGAAAATTCGGTCCTCCGAAAAGCGGCTAGCGATTTTACCTACGTAAGATGGAATCTTGGACACTAGACACTAAAAAGACTACATTACAATACAAGTCCGCTTATATTTTTAAATGATTAATACAGATATCTACAAATATCACAACCAAATCTTATTTATGAAACCGTTGGTTGGAACCATTTTCTGTTCGGTATATTTATTTCAAATTCAGATTACTAACTTTTTTATGTCTAATTTAAGTCAATTATTTTATAGATACTTAAAAACACTTCGAATTTATAGCACATTAAAATTTTATTAGTGTATTTGCTCTATATTCGTATAAATGAGTCACAATGGTCAAAAAGTTAGATTTATATTTTATTACAACCTTTTGAATACTTGCGCTCATATAATTTTAATAGTTTCTTAATGTAGTAGTTTCGAGGTTATATGAATACTAAAAATAATATTTATTGTAATAAGTGTAGGATTAAGAATAGTAAGAATAAATTAATACCAAAATGAAATAATACATTATTTTGAGACTTCGACAAAAAATAAAGTCTTGGAGTGGACTCTTTTTTGCACAGAACCTACAAACATAAAAATAAAAACAATTTTAAGTCAAAACTCTGTTAATATAAGCTCCCTAGTGTACCTTTGTCTAAAGGAAATATTTTAAATTGTAATACATTTTTGCCACATCGTGAGGCTGTTAGTTTAGTAGTCTTTCTGGCAACCACCAGTCGCCAAGATATTTATTACATTTGCAGTTAATCTGGTGAGCAGATTCTTCAATGCTTGGAGTGATGAACATTGGAAAGCAGTAAAACGAATTTTTAGATATCTGAAATACACTGCTCATTATAAAATTGTGTACAGAAAAACTACACAAATCAAGGTAATAGGCCACACTGATGCAGACTATGCTGGCTGTCTGGATACAAGAAAATCTACTAGTGGATAGGTATGTTAGTTACATGAGTGTTAATATAAGCTCCCGGACTAATGTAATATTTAATATATAAGAAAAAGAAGAATTAAGTTTTAAGGTTATGTTCTATATTCTCTTATGCAAAAACGGTTAAACATGTGTTTATTTATATTGTTAAGTCATTATTAATTCTAATTTATTGTTTTTATTATTTATCAAAGGTTCTATATTTATAATACTCACAACTTAATTTAAAGTTTATTTATTTGTACTAATTCATCTCACACTAATAACTACATAATTTATTTACAAAACGAACGTTACATTTCAAACACGGCGCGCTGTTCTTTTGACTGACTTCCCACAGTGAAAGTCCCGTTATTTATATGAAAACATCTGTTAAAATGGAACATCGTCGAAGGTTTGATGGTCTTCTCAGCTAGACTGAGCGGCGAATGGTCTCGAACTGGTTTTTTTACATCGGCATGTCTCCAGAAGGTTTGATTGTTGTTTTTATATCGGAGGGTTGGGCCAGTTGATGTTACCTGAAGTTTTTATTCGACCCCTTCTGGAGAGTTCGAATCGGTAGTATATGACCTAGAAAATACATGAATGAATAAGAATATTAGTAATAAATATGTTTACGGTTTTGGGTCAGAATTTATCGTAACAATATTTTCAGTTTCTCAGGCTAATATTTATTGTTTAATAAACTTTTTACATGGACAGTACAGTTATTTTATTTATCAAACTAAAAGCCACAGAAAAAATAACAGATAATGCCACAAAATAAATAAAAACATCTTTTCAGCAAAGAAAACTAATCAACATAACATAATAAAATAAAGTAGAAATCTTTTCAACATCGCCACTGTAACTCTTCAGTTCTTTTGAAAGATAGAGAAAAGGTGAACAAAATTTATTCATTAAGTACTTAAATGGCACTCCTAGAATAGTGACAAAAAACTAGCACAGTCCTTACCTGTAGTGTGGGTTTATTTTCAACATGTAAGAGGTCTAAGAACTAAGCTCGATAGTTTATTTATGAGTGTATCCTATTCTCATTACAGTATTATCGTATTCAACGAGACTTAGTTAACGTGTGACTAGGCCAATGAAGAGCTGCAGTTGTTGACCTTTAAAATATTAGAACTGATCGCTCCTGGGAAACAAGTTCATTCTCAAGAGGTGGTGGAGTCCTTATTGCAGTTCATAAGAGCTTTAGCAGTAGGTCCTTAACAGTTAACCAGACAATCGAACAACTTTTTATCTTGGTAACTAAAGGTGCAAATCAGTTTATTATAGGAACAGCATTTCCACCAAAGTCTACATTTGAAAAATATTCCATATTTTGTGAAACCTTAAAACAAGCTGAGGTTTATTTATCTGCACACTATTATCTGGCTACTGACTTTAATTTACCAAACTGTAAATGGTTTTCAAATGACATGTGCTCTACAACAGTTCTTCTACCAGCTGCCACATCATCTAAAGTTGAAGCCCTACAGGTTGTGTCTGGTATTTGTGCATACTATAATTTATTTTAGTTCAACACTATTGTAAATTCCACGTGTAATATTCTCTTTTGAGGCAGGTTATGCTCCACCCACCCCTGGAATTTGAGATAAAGATGACCAAAAGGTGCCCCAATAATAGTGGTTTGGTTAGTGAGGGTTTCTATAGGGACTTTAAGTCGGCTGACTATGTGAAAATAACTGATTTTTTATCACAGTTCCGTTGGGATAATTTATTTTTAGAAAAACCACTAAATCAAATTGTGAATATTTTTCATGATATAGTTTACTTTGCTATAGAATTATTTATTTCCTTAAACAGGTATTCACGAAGTAGATTCACTTCTTGGTTCTCTTGAGAGTTAAAGGACCTGATAGTTGAGAAAAAGAAAGTTTACAAAAATGTCTTTTATCTAAATCACTTTTGGATTATCGCACTTTTTCTCAGCTGAGGGCCAACTGTAAATTGTTAAAAGTTCACAAACCATCTTTATTTAATAGAATTATCACTATGAAATAATTTAAAGGGATTTTGGTCGAGTTTGTAACAAAAAAAAGTGAAAGACGTCAACTTTTCATTAGTTTAATATTCTACGTTTCGCTTTGTTTTATTCTTTAAATGCATCCCCAGTTCTATACAAAAAGTAAGGCTTAAGTCTACTAAAATTAGACTTAAGTAGACTTAAGCCAGCAATACAAGCTGGCACCGCCAATAACCTTTCATGAATATCTTGATTAAAGAAAGACTATCAATATTTTTTTTTATAAACACAATTCTAAGTATTGTCTACTACTTTTGTCTCTAAGTAGGGTTGTTTGATTTATCACATAACATACATACATAACATACGAGTATATTTTTTAATATTTGTTAAGTAGACTAAAATATAAATAATAATAAAAGTAACTGACGTGATTGTTGTATAAACCCAGATTAGGTAAGTAAGTTGGTAACATTTATATGTAGGACGGATGTACGCATTTTGATTATTTCATTATTAATTTAAGACAAAAACTGGTTCAGTGATTTATAATATCTTTAT